GCACAGTATTAAGAAGTTAAAGCCACTTCTGCATGAGTTTGATCCCCGCCTGCCCTAGAGGTGATCCACATGGCAAGGCAGACCTCTCCTGACCCGCCCACTGTACCCCCCTCAGCAGTGTATTTCAGTAAATCTGCCTGTTCTGCTCCCCACTGTCTTTTGTGAATCCTTTCACCGCCTCTGCACCTCTGGCCTGTACCCCAGTTCTGTATGCACAAATACATAAATCTTAAAAAAAAAATTCTGGGTCGTTTATAAATCTATGTGCTTCATTAGAGTGATAATTAGTTTTTTTAGTTTGTATTATGAGCGCCTCATAATACAAATTAAATAGAAAAAAGTCTCAAGTCAGAGATTATAGTGTAGGTGTTTTCAACATCCAAAAGCTAGTACTATCGTATAACTGTATGGTGCCTGACAGGCCCTTAGTATTTTTAACATAAACAGGTAAAAACAAATTTTCCCCAGCAATATGAATTATTATCAACAGAGCTAAATCCAATTTCTCCCAGGATAAGTCAGAAAATTCAAGTTTAATTTCTATTTCTTGGATTTAAAATTAATACACTGACAGTTTTGTTAGAGTTTAATACATACTGGTGTTTGTCCTCTAATTTTTGATGCTCCAGTTCCCACAAAGTGTACTTTGCATAACAAATGAGCAGTGTTTGTCTTTCTGGTAAAAAATGTGGGGTTTTTACTGCCAAAGCAAACTGGTTAGATGGTGATAGGAAGACATTATTAATGACAGTTTGATATAAGGTCTCTACCATTACTGTAGCCCTTCATTCCCTAGTTTATTGGGTGTAGGAAACTGGTTTCCATGAAATAAAAAAATGGAAACAAAAGTCTTAAACTCTCTACTTTACTAAAAATTAAGAATAACAAAACTTTCAGAGCTTAGGGCTAGAAGAAATACTAATTACCTTTCTTAAGGGAACTTTCAGATTGAGTTAAATCCTATAGTAAACTTACCTACAAAAGCTACATTTTCTCTTACAGGAACAGATTCAGACATATAGGCATACTTAGAAATATTATCAAGTTTGTTTACTCTAAGTTACCCATGTTCTGATGGCTGTCAATTCAAAAGCCTCTTTAGTGAAGGGAGAGGATGCTTCATTTTAAAATAGTATCAATACTTATTTGTTCTTTCACAAAGTATCTCAGAGGGTCACTAATATTGCACTGACTCCAATCCTTAGCTGCCTCTCCTGCCCTCCACTCAAAGAAAAGACAAAACTTTCAAGGGGACCACAGATCTGAGGCATATAGCAGAGGAGGGGGAGAAGTCAAAATCCGGGAGGAGAGAGCACAGGGGACTGTGATGATGGACCCAGGGTGCTAAGGAGAACTACAGGGATGACACCTGAGGGGAGAAATCAAATAATGTCCAAATATTAACAAAAAGGTAAGAAAATGATTTTTAGAACAAAAGATAACAAAAAAAACCAAAGACAAGAAGAAAGCATCTACTTGCTATTATTTGTAATTGAATAAAAGAATTAGGGGTTAGTGTATCCACTTACTCATAGGCCATCAAGCTTAGTTAAATGATGACAATTTTAGAAACTTCTATGATATAAGAGTCAGTCACAGGTTATTCTGACTACAGTGGCAGAGGGAAGACAGGTTCAAAAAAAAGGGAAATCAACTTCTACATCAATGTACTGTTACTATCAATCTGTGCCCCAGCTCCCCCCACCCCGCAATTGACTTCAAAATGATAAATATCCTTCTAGATGGTCAGACAGAACCAAGACCAATGAAATACAGAGAACTAGCTCTAAGAAAGTTAACTGGTACTGGCCCTCCTTGGTGGCGCAACAGGTTAAAGCGCAACACTGCAAGCCTAGCTGCAGACACTTCACTGAGTTTCATCCCCAGCCCAGCAGGTGATCCACTTGTGGAGACTGCCTGCTGCTCCCCTCAGCAGTGTACTTTGTCAGTTTGCCTGTTCTGCTCCGTTTCTGGTGAATCCTCTCTCTGGCTTGCACCCCAGTTCTATATGCATAAATAAATAAATCGTAAAAAAAAAAAAGTTAACAGGTACAATTAATCATGGATAAAGTTTTCACACACACGTAAGAATCTTTGAAAAAGTGTTCTCAAAACAGAAATTCTCTCCAATGTTTGTTTTTGCTGGAAATATTTTTAAAGGTCTGTTAAAAATTCTTCTTCAGGGCCACCCTGGTGTTACAACTGGTTAAAGCACTAGGAAGGTAACCATAGCCACTGCAGCATGAGTTCCATCCCTGGCCAGGGAGGTAACCCACATGGTATGGCAGACCTCTCTTGGCTCACCCGCTGCTCCCCTCAGCAGTGTATTTCAGTTGGCCTGCCTGTTCTGCTCCCCACTCTCTCTGGTGAATCCTCTCACCTCCCATAACTCTGGCCTGTACCCCAGTTCTGTAAGCATAAATAAATAAATCTTAAAAACATTTTTTTTTCCTTCAGAGCCTATAATATACTCTTCTGAAAATTTTAATAGATATAAGTCTAATGGTAAATACCAGTTATCCCTAGGTCTTAAGATAACCATACAAAATTTCCTCTTAAAGATTATGTAAAATTAGGTTGGTTGTGTTGCTTCAGCTTTGAGAATTTTATTTCAGAACACTCAGGTATAAGGTGACCCAGAGGAAAGATTAAGTAGCTGAGGGGTGGGAAAAGGATGTAAACAAGATTCCCCCTCCCCCCCTCTTTTGAAAAGAACACTGGTAGATGGTAGTTGAGGGACGTTGGGAGAGAAAAGTGTGCTTGAGTGGGAAAGATAAAGTTCACAGTAGTGATAGAAAAATCACAATTTTTTTCACCTAATATATTCTGCATTTCTAAGGCAAGAACGGGTGCAAGGGGTTAATAACTTTCTTAAAAATAAAGTTTTAACTATTTAGCTGTTAAAAAACTCACTTTAGGTTCTTCTTAGAAAGTACATTCTCTGCAGGGGGTTATAAGCAGCTAGGAAGATCCTCCAGTGTCATGGAAGCAAAACCTGGAGGCCCAATTTTGCTGATCATTTCTTTAGTATACTGTTTATCTTCAACAGAGGAGTATGCTCATAGACTTTCTTTCATATTTAACTAACCCCTCCAAACCCTATTCTCTCCATAGCTTTTCAAATTACCAAGATAATACATTTTCTTTCATATTATATTTTCTTGCAAAGGCTTCTAGTTAGTATTCACTGCAATTCAGTTTCTCAAACCTAACAGAATTGTAGCTTAGACTCTATTATAAGTAAGTGCTACAGTAACAGTGCTTAGGTATGGCTGATGCAATTTGTTACTGGGTTCAACGCTTGCTATTAAAAACTGTGGCATCAAGAGGAAGAGGGCTGACAAGCTGCAGTAAACGTTATTGCTTTACTTTGTGAAGTTGTGATTTATAAAGATGGGAGAGGACCTGGCATTTAAAATTTATAAAGAACTTCAAGGAAAAAATCAGTTCCTGAGAAAAACGAAATTGAAATATTAGTTTATTGTAAGCCTTTGAAGAGACTGGAAATACTGCCCAGAGACTAATATAACTTGATGTCTGTTTTATAAACACACTGCAATTTACTGTATTAACTTTTTAACTTGGCCTCTTCCTCCAACATACTTGCTAGTTTTTTTTCCCTGAGTGTGAACTTGGTTCAGAGAATAAAGGAGTGGTAGTAGGAAGGAAGGCCATGCAGGATTTGACAATACAGTTTAATTTTGGAATTGGGAAGGGAATCTGGTGGTCAACAAGGTTGAAAGAAAGAGGAACCTAGACGGCAAGAGGATAATTAAGCTCCAAAGACAAATCCCGGAAGTGGGTGGAGTCAATGCAAATTTAGCAAGAAGTAAATCATTAAACAGTTTTAAAACCACCTTTGTTCCAGACTAGGGATGCCAACTGAGTTGAGGATTCTCTCCTAGAGGTATTTCTAAAAATTCTCCTTGGAAGTCAGTTAAGCTTCTGTAACAGAACCCGGGGCCAAATTCTCAAAGACAAAGGGTCTAACACCATCAAACCTCCAGCAAAACTCTTCACCTACCTCGATTTTTTTTGCTTTAAGCAGAAAAAAAGTGGCTTAGGTCTTTTATTGGGAAAAAAGGTTTTATTTGCCCAGAGGAAGCAAAATGACTGCAGAAGCCAAATCTATAGAAATTCAAAAATTTCAACTATAGTACAACTTGGTGACTCCCAAATTGTAATTGACTCAATGCTTTTCTTCCTGTACTTTATCTTTTCCCCAAGCTCAAACCTGGTGCTAGCCAGGACTAGTACACACCCCCAGGGCTATTTCATTTCATTGGTTGGCAGGCTGTCCGGCAGTGTACACCCTTTAGATTTACTGTCAGGTCGCCCGGTGTTTATTTGTCAGAGATGTTACATTGCTCTTGTATTACTTTTCTTGCTTTCTTTTTGGGTACAAAATAGAAATTATAGGCGTAGAAAACGACCCAATTTAAAAGATGAACGTAACATTAGTATATTCATTGGCCTGATACTGTTAAGATTTCAAACGCAGGAGGCAATTCACTTTGTATGCTCCAGTAATGATCTGCCACTGTTATAAAAAAGCCAAAGTAATCTTAAAACAATTATTTCATCGTTTGCACTCGTGTGAGTCATAGAAACCCACAAAAACTTGCACAGGCACAATCAGATGGGCCGGACACTCCCTCTTGTAGAAGTGCATTTTGTCAGGACCCACCCAGTGAGTCACAAATACCGGATCAAAAGAGCAGCGGTGCAGTGTCTGCTCTGCACACAGCATCAACATATGCAGAAAACCGGGATGATGGCTCACAGGGGCAAGAAGACAGGACCAACAGTGTGGTGGTTTTAGGCGGAAAAATTACTAGGCACCCGAACCTGATACACCCGGGGCGGGAGGTGGAGATCACAGAAGGGGGACAGCGCCCGCAAGGCTGAGCAGAGCAGCGGTCCCCTGACTAACAGGAGGCGCGGCGGAGCAGGGTCGCGGGGAAGGGCGCAGGGGCTGGCTGGTCCCGGCGGGCGCTCACCTCCCTTGCAGGGTGTGCGGTGCTGGCTGTGCTGGGCCCGGTAGCCTTCGATGACCTCCCAGGAGCCGTCGTCGCGCCGGATGGGGAAGGACAGGCTCAGCACATGGTTGCAGGGCTTGATGATCCGCAGGATGCCGCGCACCCGGTTGCGCTTCTGATCCTCGCTCTCCCGGGTCTTGAGGTCCTCCACCAGCTTGTCCTCCACGATGCTGGCGCCGCGATCGAAGAAGCCCTCCACCATCTTGAAGAAGTTGGGGTCGTCCTCGCGGTCGGCCACCGCCTCGCTGTAGTGTCGCCGGGCGGGCAGCGCGAGCCCCGGCAGCGGGGCGGCGGCGGGCTGCCCACAGGCCCGGCCCAGCAGTGCGGCCGAGTCGGCAGCCGCCGAGCCGAGGACGGCAGGCCCGGCACGAGACAGCAGCAGCGCTTCTCCCAAGCAGCGGTACATGGCGGCGGGGCGGAGGCCGCGGAGAAGAGGAGCTCTCGGAAGCCCGGGGACGGAGAGAGGGAGGAAGGGCCCGCTGCGGGCTGCCTTTTTAAGCCGCAGTTTCCTGCCTTTCTGGCTGTCCCCTCCCCTCCGGCGCTCACCGCCTAACGGGGAGGACGGACTTTGAGGACCGCGGGCTAACGTCGCCTGTGAATGGCAGGGCGGGGGGCGCGCGCCGCCCAGGGAGCCCGGCCTCCGCCTACGCCGCGGCCTCGCCCGGCCTCCCTGGCGGCGGCGCGTGCCGGCGGGGCGCGCCCGGTGCGCATGCTCGCACGAACTCGGGTGGGCGGGGCGAGGGCCCCCGCGGATTGCCGGGATCTGCAGGGAGGCGGTGTCCGAGGTCTGTGCCCTGCGGGGTCTCCCCCAGGCGGGGGTGTAGGGGCTAAGCTGGCTGGGGGGTTTCGCCCTGGGAGAAGCCCAGCCCTGGAAGAGGCGGTTCCGGGGAGGGGGGGTGTCCCTGAGGGGCGCACTCCCTGACTGCCTGTGGGGGGCGCTGGAGGCCGGCCGGGGACGTGCGGAGGTGAGGATGGTGCGGTCTGGCCGTGGTCCCGGGGCCAGTGAGTCATGGGCGTCCCTCCTTTCCGTCTGCGCGCCCCCGGGCGGGGCCGCTGCCCCGGGGCCTGTCCTCGTGCGGCCCGGGGGGGGGGTAGCCTCGCGCGGGACGTTGAGTCGGGGCGGTAAGAGAAGTTGATTTGGCGGTTGGAGGCCCAGCTAAGGGTTCGGCGGGACCCGCGGCACTGCGGGAGTTTTGAGGGGACTTAGGGAGGCTGCAGAGCCAGCTTGGGAGTGGAATCTCTTACTGTCTGACCGTTACTGCTTTCATTACGGTTTTAACTTTGTCCCTTTCAGCTACTCAAAGATGTTGTGATAAAATAGGTAAATCACTGTTTTCCTGTAAGTTATGGTGCCTCCACCTTTCAGAAACACATTTTTGAAATGACCCGAAAGCAGTCATTTACTGTAGAAGTGCAAGCATTTCCCGGGAAATTCTTTCACAGTAATATTGGTACCGAATCCTTCAGCATAGGAATGGTAAACTTTAAGCTACCCGAGGGCTTAATTATTCATTTACATACACTTGAGAGAGAAATGCTAACGTTACATATTTATGTGGGTGACTCCGACTTTAAGAAAACCTGCCAAAGTCCCCTCACTCGCTCAGGTGGACTCAGTATACTTTGGTGCTTTTAAAATGGCAACTTTTTGGTCCTCAAAACTACTTTGCTTCTTTAAATTCGCCTTATTCATCTATTAAAATATGGAGGAGACTTTTAATTTTCACAGTATTGTCAGGTGTAAGCTGACAATATAGCTTAAATTACATTTATCTAAGTGTACCCTCAAAGCAAAAAAGAAAGAACTTATATTTTACTTTGCCAGATAACTGGTACTTATTACTTATATCTGAATTATTTTTCAATAAAAAATATTCTCTGAAGTGTGCCCTGAATTTGTATTGTTGGTGAAGAGATTAAGATACCAAATTTCCTTGTCATTTGATAGAATTTTAATTGTACAGTGTAATTCACCCTCCCTCACCCAATCTTGGAATTTCAGAATAAAGTGATTATCATCAGTAAACATGTGGACATTTTTTCTCTTCAGGTTAAATTCTCTGGTATGTTTTGAGGAAAGTGAGTTTAAAAGTGTAATTTATTGCCCGTGTTTATCTCTTTCCTGATAGCCATAACCTTCAGAAAAATAAATGTTTAACTTTGCTTCTTCCAGTTTCGTTCATCAACTTTCAAGAAGTTGGAAAGGCTTTGGAAGGAGTGAGGCAATTGTTTTTGGGAGTTTTCTCTGTGTAGATTTCTTACAAAATGGTGCCACAAGAGTCTGATAAAGTAGATGCTTTTATATTTATTTTTTTTTAAATTAAAATAATATCAAACAGAAGAATAGCATCTTTGTTCATAAAGAAAACCTTTGCCAAAGTCCTGCCAGTCAACTTCAACTCTCTTAGGCCCCAGTAGCTAGAAGTGGATTATATTTATTGTCCATGTCCTTCCTGTAAGGACTCTGAAACTTTTATCTTCTGAACTTCTGAAATATAGGCAGGCCAACAATAAAGAAAGGATGAAAGGAATAATTGCTAAGTTGGAAACCAATACTGTTTGCCATATTTGCCACTGACAAGAACTGAGTTATGTGTGCTATCTTACTTAGATATTATATTTTATTGACAATACATCTTCTAATATATCACTGGGAATTATTATACTTGCGCAGCTTAATGTGCGGAATCTGCAGGATCTAGTTTACTTTGAAACTGTCAGTATGTTTCAAGTTATTTATATTAGAGTTTTGCAGTTTTCCTTTCCTTTGATATGCTAGTAGTCCTTCCTTATCCATCATTTTGCTTTTTGCCTTTTCAGTTAACCTCTGACCAGCCAGCGTCCAAAAATATCTAAAATAAGATATCTTGAGAGAGACTGAGAGTGCGTTTTCTTAACTTTTATTACAATATCGTGTTATAATTGTTCTACTTAACTATTATTATGTTAATCTCTTACTATATCTAATATACAAGCTCTCATAAATATATATGTACAGGAATAGATATATGTATAGGGCTTGTTACTACCCACTGTTTCAGGCATCCATTGGGGGGATTATGGAAAATGTAAAGTGGGGGGCTACTGTATAATCATGATAGTTTTAAGATTATGCCTCCTTTTTTGAATAGCTTTTTTTTTTTAAACCAATGACAGCATATAAGGCATAACCCCAGCAGTGATGTTTATTTTGTTGTCATGTAAAAGGGTAGAACTGAAGCCCACCCTCAATCTGGGAATTATAATGAAATATCAAAAGAGTTCAGATGATTTCAACAGATTTTCAGATTAAGCTACCATCAGAAATTTATTATAAAAATATCTGTGGGCTAAGTGATTTAAATTAACAGGAGGACTAATCATACCTGTATGTTGAAATTAGAAGTTCTCATCTTTGTCCTAAAGGCAGAATGACTGTCTCATTGGGGTCTCTATTATAGTAGTGTACTAACAGAAGCACAGGTTGGAAAAGAGTTGAAGCTACATGGGATGGATAGTCAAATCACCTTTATAGTTATTTTCCTCCACAGTTTTCTCATAAAATTTGTATTTTTTATGATTGCATTCTTGGACAGTAATCTAAAAATCAATGAAATACAAAGGTATTACAGCTGAGATTTCAGAAATTGATTATCTGTTAGTCTCTGTACAGTGGAAGTGCTAATTGACTATTAAAAAAAAGTGGAGTGTAAATTGGAAAGTACTTATACAGAGAAAAGTTTCAGGATTTAAGAAAGAGGAAAGTTGTAATGAAAAGTTTAAGTTAAAGCAAGCAGGTATCTCTACCCTTAACATGTTTTTTTTTTTGGTTTGGTTCCAAATGAAATTAATTTTGAATAATAGTGATTTATCTTTATATCTTCTCTAATTAATTATAGGCTCTGATTATCTTTTGTAATTTCATATTTTTTATGCCTCTTTTTTTACATTAATACAAAAACAAACAAAAAGGAAACAACTCACATAGAGAAGTAACCACGATTGACTAATTAGAAAAGTTGAAGTGGAAAAAACTAAAAAAACTGAGCCCTGAGAAATTACTTATCGCCTTTGGCTTTTACTTATTTTAACATTTCCTTAGCAAAAAAATGAAAATGTTTATAAATGAGAATAACAGAAGACTGTCTCTTTCATTCCCCAGAGCTACATTTTCAACTACAGATAATCCTTTCTGACCCAGCTCTCCATGTTTGATCTTGGAAACAGCTTAGCTGAGATAACAAGGTATATTTAGATTTTATTCCTAACTTATTTTTATAGATTTTTATTTCTAACCTATGTTACTATTTTTTCATGCTGGCTTTCATTTTGGGACATTTCAATTTTCTAAATGTTATTTATCAGGTAGAGCAGTAACTAAATTAAAAAATTTAAAAATAAGATAAAACTTGAAAATTCTAAAAAGCAAAAGAGTAATACATAAAAATACGTATGTGGGATCATACCAGCACTCCATGATGTAACGAAGGTACTAATTGAAAAAGTAATCATTTAGTATATTCAGATTTCTAGTTGTTTAAACTTTTTTGTTTTTTAAATAATTTATATTGAAGTAATTTTCTTTAGAAATTATTGTTTTTAAATTTTTATTGAGATAGCATAGGCTTATAGCATTACTTATGATTCAGATATATAGTATTATAATTTAACATCTGTATAGATTACATATACTACACTAAAAGTCTAGTTTCCATCCATTACCATACAGTATTTCTTTGAAGAATACCATTGAGATTTTTTTTTTTTTTAAAGATTTATTTTTATTTGTGCATACAGAACTGGGGTACAGGCCAGAGGCTCAGGGGCGGTGAGAGGCTTCACCAGAGACAGAGTGGGGAACAGAACAGGCAGATGGATGAAGTACACTGCTGAGGGGAGCAGCGGGTGGGTCAGGAGGGATCTGCCACACCATGTGGTCACCTCTGGGGCAGGCGGGAATTGAACTCATGTGGAAGCGGCTTTAGATTCTCAGTGCTGTGCTTTAACCCGCTGCGCCACCAGGGAGGGCCCAATGCCATTGAGATTTTTATTGGAATTGCGCTGAATCTAAATTGCTTTGGGTAGGATGCTAATTTTGATAATGTTGATGTTTCTGATCTATGAGCAGGTTTTTCCATTTGTTTTTGTTTTTTTTTTTTATTTCTTTTAACAGTGTTTTATAATGTTCCTTATGTAGGTCCTTCACTTCCTTAGTTAGGTTTATTCCCAGGTATTTAATTTTTTTGGTATGATTGTAAATGAAATGATTTTCTTATTTTCTTCTTCCACCTAAGGCTGATTGCTTGCATATAGAAAGGCAACCTATTTTTGTGTATTGATTTTGTAACCTGTCACTTTACTAAATTGGTTTATTGTTATAATTAATTTTTCCATGGGGCAGCAATTCTCCTGTCCACCAGAGACTATGCAGGTGTCCACCAGAGACTATGCAGGTGTTACACTTCACACATTTTCTTGTTTTGCAAAAAACAACAGAGCTATCTCCTCCCCCTCCCCCCCGCAAGGCGGCCTGCTTGTTAGTAGCCAAGCCATGCTTAACAACCCTGTCCCTTTCAGGAACATCTTTGTACCCACTTGTGTCTATGTAACTGTCCTTTAGTTTTCTTTCCCTTTTTATAATAAACTTGCCCTTTTGGATATTAAAAAACATTAATTCTTCCATTGGCATTTTA